ATTCGTGGTGAAAACATTGCTGTTGCCATCTAAGTTTGTCCAGAATTGCTCTGTTGCTCTAATGCATTCCAATTCTAGCAGGCTTTCTTGTGAAAATGGTAACTGAAGTCCCATACACATAAAAAATTTAGATGACCTAAAAGTCCCAAAACTAAATTGAAAAAGTGCAGAGAAGGAGAACAAATGCTTCTTGATTTAGGTTTTATGGCATAAAAGTAGTCCAGCCGTAAACATAGTAAAAGAGATCAAAGAATAAAATAGTAGTACAGAAACAGACCCGTACATATATAGGCAACTGATTTTTAGATAAAGTGCAAGGAAGATTTAGTGGGAAAACAAAGTTTTCAATAATTTAATCTGTAAGACAAAGTATATATCAGGAGGAAAAATGAAAACAAGTGAGATGGAGACAGCATGGATCTTTTGCAAATGGAAAGGGGACCAGGGGACCTAGGACAAGCCGTGAGGAGTGAGTATGAGGGTATGAAGATATGCCAGATATAAGGTCTTAAGATCCTCAGTGAATATGGACATTATATGCTGTAAACATAAACTAAGTTTAGCAATGTCAGAAAGAGTGGACAAGTGAAATGGAGAATTAGTGGATGGAGCAGGACAGAGGGAGATTACAAAAATAAACAAGTTGCACTATGTCCATGAACCAACTCCCCAAAATGACTGTAAAATGCGTGTACTGCAAATACGTAAACTAACACTTAAAAACTAGCTGCATCAGACACAAAGACATATCCAGATGCAATTTAAAAATGCATGTATAAAAATATAATACCTGTCGATCAAAATGGAAAATCCACTCAATTATAAAATCTAAAACTTTGACAGTTCTAGTAAAGCCATAAAAGAGTGCCTTTGTGGCCTAGGGGTAGGGAAAGGGAGCTAATGATGCAACACCAAAAGTGTACTCTAATGTAGAACAAGTTGATGCATTCAGCTTTATCAAAATTAAGTATTTGTATTAATCAAAAGGCACTATACTATCTCTGGCAAAACTAAACACAAAAAGGAGATATAATGAAGGACAATTACGTATCTGTATATACAAAATTGTTAGTATAGATATATAGCCACTTTCTCTTAATTCAATAAGAAGAAAGATTTGTACTAATAGTGTTTGGACAGCATATCATGTCAGCATCTTGAGCTATGAATGACCACTACAAAGACAATATGCAGTGTATTAATTGCTGTAACTCTCCTACCAACCTGTTTTGAAACTATCTCATTGCAATTTTTTTCTCAATAAAATTAATTTAAAAAAGACATTGTTATGGGCTGGCCAGATAGCTCAGCAGAGCGTAGTGACATGACGATCACAGGAATGTCCTGCCTGCTCCACCCCTGAGGAACGCTGAGACAGCCACTGAGACTGGGCATGGTGGTGCGTATCTATAATCCCAGCTCTTTGGAGGCTGAAAAGAGAAGGATCACTACAAGTCTGATCTATGTAATGCGACTCTGCAGACCCCATAAATCCTGTACTAAATAAATAAAAAAGACACTATTAAGAGGTGAAATAAAAGGAACAGATTGAGAGAAAATGCCATGCTAATTTAAATTAAGATACATATTCGGACCACATAAACACTTGACTGACAACCCAATAAGATAGCCAACAACCAAATAAAATGAGTAGTAATGTGACAGATATTTCATTGAAGAATATGTAGAACAAAATTAGTTATTAAGAATAGCATCTGGGATGGGGAGATAGTCCAGCGGCATAAGCCCCGCTGCCTGGCAAGCACAAGTTCCAGAATTTGATCTGAAGAAAGAAAGAGAAAGAAAGAAGAAAGAAAGAAAGAAAGAAAGAAAGAAAGAAAG